CCCCCCCCCCCCCCCAAAAAAACAAAAAGCTCTGGTTCCCAGGCCCTGTTGGGTCTAGAATGTGGCACGGTGGGATGCTGGATCTCTGATACTTCCTTGGTGCTGCCCAGGTGAGATGGGCAAAGCACCATCTCTCTGAGCTTGAAAGGAAGTTCTGTCAGAGCTCCGGCTTCCAGCCTGCTTCTGACCCTTCTTCCCTCCCTTCTTCCACCTGCGGGAGGCTGCTGACTCCCAATTCGCAAGGGCTGGGAGCTGGCTGAAGCAGCCACGGGCAGGGGACTGCTCCCAGGTAACAGTTAACCACTGCCCAGTGCGCATCACCCATTCACGTCCCTAGCAGTGACTGTGGGATTCTACCCAGGGTAGGGTAGAGACAGAACAGAGCTGGGGAGCAGCTGCTGATGGGTTGACTGGATTTCTCTTCCTGAGGCTATGGCTCCATAGTAGTGAACAATTAATGCATCTGCTCCCCTACCAGCCGCCATGGGCAGGAGCCTCTGGCTCTCCTTGTATCCACTCCTTCGTGGTGTGTGCGCGCGCGCGCACACACACACACACACACACGTACGTTGTGGTCTGGAACTGAGCAGATCCTGGGCCTTTTTTCCAGAGAAGTCTCCTTTGGGTGTGTCTATTCCTGGGCAGACAAGGAGCTGTTCTGCTAAAGGAGCTCTCTGACGCTGTGCAGTCACAGCACAGCTAATGCACCGTTCCTTCCAGCAGCTTGTGTGCTGAATGCCCTTTCCAGACACATAAGCCTGGACCCCAGCAGCTCCCATTCTTCACCGGCCTCTAACACGGCCTGTCTGCATGCAGAGCCCTGCAGAGTGTGAGGCACCCAGCTCTCTTTCCCGCCTCCCAGGGGCTGGGCCCTGATCCTGATGCAGACCCCTTTCTGGGCTGGCATTAGGCATGGTGGAAATTCTTATTTTTAAGCTGCTATTCCACCCTCCGCACCCTGTCTTCCTACATCCTGTGCTAACCACAAGCTCTCATCCTCAATCTGCCAGTGACAAAGCATGTTGGCGCCTAATAAAATGAGGAACGCCATGCAGCACCACAGGAAGGCTGGGACGCTGCGAGAGTTATCGAAGCCGTTGGGTATGATTTCTTTTTTTAAAAGTCATGAGTCAGCACCCAGGCATAATTTCCACTGGCAAGAAGGAAGTCTGTATAGAATTGAATGGTAAATATGGGCCTGCAAATGACTGGTGTCCCTTCTGATTAGTGGTGACGGTGCACAGATGCTGAGCTCTGCTCAACTCTCCTATTGGATCCTCATCTTAGGTTGCCCCAGCATATCACCTCCCAGTATTTAGGGGCTGCTTCTCTGCACTTGGACCCATCAAATGACTGGTCCAAGCAAGTAGAATTGATGCTCCCAGAAGCATTCTTCCTATACGTGCTGTGCAATCAGATTGCATCCAACCACTCTCTGATGCAGTTTTGGTTGCATCCCTTACATACCCAATTGAAAATGCTTAAATTGCAACACAGGCCTTACCTTGACACCTGTCTCAGTGGTACCCCTGCTTAGACACCGAACTACATCGATATTCCTAACTCTCATGTGATAGGCAACAATGAAGTGTTGGCAAAAGCATCACCTTATTCCTCTTTGCTTTCTTGCAGGCTCTGCAGCTCTGGTCATCTATTATAGCCTGCTGCACCCCAAATCCACAGAGATCTGGCAGAGTTTCCTGAAGAAGTCTTGCAGCATCGCGGCTGCAAAGGACAACGGGACAGAAGGATCCACTTTCCGGCCTGTAAGCAAAGCTGGGGGGAGCTTTGGAGTTTCCAGGCATGGGGACGTAGCATCTCTGAAGGCAGACGTCTCCGAGGTGGTGCATGCTGGGCCTGCTTCTGGAGCACCCAGTGAGACCTCACTCGGAGAGCACAACGGTCTTACTGCTGTGACGGATACCTGGGCGAACCATCATCACTGGCTATTGGTAAGGCTAGCCTTGAAAACTGGGGATGTGTCCAAGATCAACGCGGCCTTTGGAGACGGCGGCCTTGGGGAGCTGTATCCTGCAGGCTGGGTGGAAAGCCAACACTGCAGTGCCATGCTTGGGCCGAGGACCAAACCTGGGTTTTCTTCCACGGGGAAATGCCCTGAAACGTCGGCAGCCAGAGCAGCGGGACAGAGGCTTCAGGCAGAAGAGTCCGGCAGTGGACAAAGCCTGAGCAGGAAGGAGACTACTTACGTCACACTCACAAGCAGCAGCCGCAATGTGGTCTCAGTAAGCACACCGCCCACTGGGCCAGAGGAGCACAGGCCAACAGCAAAAGCCTCCCACCGCACCGGCTTGACGAGCAAGTGTGAAGCAGAGGCGGACAAAGCGGGGGGCGTGTTGGCTCCTCTTGCTCGAAAGAGCAGTGCCAATGGCAGCTCTGACTTGGAAACTATCATGGAGCCCCCAGAAGGGACTGCTCAGAGGCAGGGGAGCGCCACTCTATATTTCAGTGCCAATGCAGAGAGCGCGGCCTCTCGGAATGGAGGCGGGGGAGCCGCCAGCTGGGTGACTGACGGCCTTGTGGAGGACAGCAGCCTGGGGCCTTCACCAGACGACATTGTGAGTAAAGGAGGGGGCTTCTCCCTCGCCGTGGCCAATATCAGTCCAATCCTGGGCATGGGCGCTCATGGCTGTCTGCAGAGCGGTCCGTCCCTCTGCTGCACCCCTCAGTGCAGTGCGCTGAGTTTATCGGAGGAGACCTCGGCGCTCGCTGAGCAGTCGGGAGCCCGGAGGACGCGGGGCCGCCATTGGAACACCGCATCCATTGGGACTTGGGTGGCTGCGGTGAAGAGGCGACTGAGACCAGCTGAGGAGCCTTGCTACACGTCCACCCCCAAGGCTGATCCCTCCAGGCAGGACTGCTGGCTGAGGGAGGCAAAGGAGAGAACGAAACCGGCAGGGTTGATGGAGCAATTGTAACGGAGTGAGCGCACAGCTGGGGCCGGGAACTTGGTGTCCAATCCAGTTCTCTGATGTACTCTTATGCCTCCACAGCAGCGTACAGCTCCGGTTCTTATCTGTCTGGAGCTCTGACCTTTTCCTCCTGCTGGGAGTGTGCGGCTAGACCCCTCCTTCCTGCAGCACATACTGTGTCAGGCAGAGGAGCTCTCCAGTTGTGTGTTGTCTCTTAGCACTCCTGCTAGAGTTCAGCTGCCTGTGAACTGGCCGTGCTCTTCTCCGGTCTACCGCCACGACGGCGGGCATTGCACTGAACATTGCAAGCCGCAGAGCCTGCTTTCAGTATCAATGACTGGCTTAAGAGAGGTTGTACCACCAGTACTTGGTTAGGTTTGGGGGTCGGTGCGTGGGTGGGTGGCTGCCTGGTGGGTATTAGAGATGTAAAACTTCTAAAAATATTAACCGTGTAACCGATGACAATTTAAATCGGTTACACAGTTAAACAAGCAGCCCCACAGGCTGCTGGCCCGGCAGGATCCTGGCCGCACCAGCCCCCACCGACCTCATACTCCCGCGGGCCTCCAGCATTGCCAGCTTTCATCCCTCTGAGCCTCCAGCACAGCTGGCACCTGCAGCCTGCTGGCAGCCCACGGGAGTTTAACCATTAACTAAGGATGTTAAATAGCGACTAATTGACTAATCGAATAGTCGATGTATTTTTGCATTGATTAGTCGATAGGGTGATTCTGCCTGGCGAGGGCGAAAGGCGAAAGCGCTGCCTGGGGCTGGGAATCAGCTGGGGACTCCAGTTGATCCTGGACTCCCTGTGGCGCTGCCACATTGAAATGCCGTGGGTGGCCTGACACCGAACTTTCCATGGTGTTTCAAAGCCGCAGTGCCACGTGGAGCCCAGGATCAGCGGGAGAGTCCCCCGCTGGCCCTGGGCTGCATACGGCATTTAAAAGCGGCAGCACTGCATGGAGCCCAGGATCTGGCTTCAGGCAGTGCTGCCTCCTTGAAGTCTTCGCCCCCCCCAACCTCCTCCTCCCCCTTTTGCTGCCTCTTTCTGATAGAGGCAACAAGCGTGGGGGAAGCAACTAGTCCTGCACATCCCTACCACTAACCAGAACAGATAGGCATCAGCTTGTTGCTTAATTGGTGAACCGGTTAAACTTTCTCATCCCTAGCAGGGATGCTGCGTTATGACAGGCATTCCCTGGAGTGGGCAAGGGACTGTCCATCTCAGGTGACTGTCAACGGGCTACAAAATCTCCCACTTCTCTGGCACAAGAGCATTTCCAGCCCATGATTCTCAGCCACTCCTACAGCTTAAAAGTGCAGCAAAGCAAAAATGCAAACCTCTTTCTAATGCATTAACTACTTGGGAAAGGAGGGGTGAGGTGAAGGAAAACTGGCAGAGCACGCTCAGAACGCCAGCGGTGTGATAACTGCCAGAGACCCTGGTTCTGGGTCTAGCACTGGAGTAGTGCTGCAGACATAGGAAGGTGAACGGTTCTCTCCTCTAGGAGGGCCTAGCTCTGTTGTCTGCAGCACAGGGAAGATGCTGAGCTTTTTAGAGTAACCTTACTAAGCAACTAACGCAATGGTGCCTCTTACATATTTGTGATATCTTGAAACTTGGCCATTGGTGGCTCTTGCAGAGAGGTATTTCCCCGGCTGCTTGCTTCTCCCCAGCTTAGGGGAACAGCTGCTATTTTGGTGGCCAAGTGGCTTGTGTATTTGAACCTCTGCCCAAAGCAGGAGTCTCTCTTCCAGGACAAACATGAGTTCAAAGCAAAACACAAGTATCTTCCCTTCTATGGAGGGTCTGACCAATCCCTGCTGCAGGATTCAGGCCGTTCACCCCCACTTCCAGGTGGCACCATGAAGGAGCTCAGCTGCTCTTTCTACTGGGGCCCCTAGGGTATGTCTACACTGCAGCTGGGTTAGACTCCCAATCTGGGTAGGCAGACTTATCCTAGTTTGGCTGGAGCAAGGGCACTAGAAAAAGCAGTGTGGATGTTGTGGTGCTGGTGGAGACTGTGGGCTTGTCTTCACTAAGGGCTGGATCAACGGGCAATGATCCATCCAGCAGGGGTTGATTTTTCGCATCTAGTATCGATAACAATGTTAACGGTTACCCGATAAGTATCCCCTTTAGCAGGTGATGTTCACTGGTAACCAGTTAAGGAGGCCTGGAAGGGCTGGAGCAGCCCCTACCTGATACGGACAGGGTCTGTTCCAGCCCAGCTGGTCCCACTGCTCTACCCGGTGGGCAGGGTTGCTCCAACCAAGTCCACCATGTACGGTGCAGATGGCCCGGCTGGAGCAGCCTCCCACAGCGCAGTGTGGCAGGCCTGGCTGAGCTGGAGTGGCCCCCTGCCCGTGGGTTCCCAGTTAAATGGAGTGTTTAACCGGTTTAAATGGAACGTTAACTTTTTAAGCAGAATTTTACATCCCTAGTGTAGACACAACAGAGGGATAATCGCCGGGCGCTGTCCTGTCCACTCTGGCACGCTACCAAAACAAGCATGAGCGGACTCGATGGGTGAGTGAGCAATCGACTTCCCGCGGCAAAGGCCCTGCAGTTTGCAGACCTCAGTGCGTCAGCTGAAGCTGAAGCTGCCTGTAGACAAGCAAGGGCGCCATTTCGGGAGGGCAGCAGCTGCGCGCTCCAGGGCGTAGCTTTTCATCCCGTGCCCCAGATGCTAAGGGTGTGAAGGGAAAACGCTTGCATTCCATGCGTGCCTCTCGCACCTGGCTGGTAAAGGGAGTTTGCCTTATATAGTCCTGCTCCCCCGTTCCCACCAGGGCTGACTTCCAGCTTGTTTACGTGAACCCTGGGGGCGGGAATGCTGCCTTTAAAGGGGCTGAGTCCTGAAGCAGGGCTGGCTGGACCTATGCATGCCCATACGGACGCACTGCAGTATGGCTGGGAGGCTGCTGAGTGAGCCATTGACTCGGCACACACAATGGGTAGCGTGCCAGTCCCCAGTGCGCACATGGGTAACTCAGGGTGACTAAATGGCCTCTTCTCCCCACCCCCCATGTCTGTGCTATGTCTGAGCAGTCCACTAAAGCAGATGGTTCATCAGTCCCAGACAGTGACTCCAGGCCAGCAGGAACACAAAGCAGGATGGAATGGAGTTGAGCATTTCTTAAACAATGTTTGGAGTCATTTCATTCAAGCCCAGACAAATTTGTTTTCTTCCTCCTGTAACAAGAGAAGCGAAGCCACACTGGTATTTGAACAGTAACTGACTCCTATTGACTGCACCTGGCAGAATTGTCCTGCTGTGCCGCTAGCATGGCCTGCCGCCAGGCATCTGTCAATAACCCCATCAGCTCGGCAGAGGAAGAACGAGGAGGAGGAGGAGAGCCGTGCTCTACGCACTGGGCGAGCAATCAGCACAAGCTCCCTTCCCTGTTTTGATTGAGTGTTAACTGCTGGGGCATGCCTACTTGGGCATGTTTCACAAGACGGATTTTCATGTGTTTAACTAACAGTTGGGTGCTAATGTCACACTGAAATTAGTTTCCAATTTAACTAACTCTGAATTTGTATTTTGCTGACCATAAAATAGCATTTGGGATGTGCTCTGTATGGAAAGAGAGTTGTAGTGAGTTCTAATAGCCCTGCCCTCTACCCCAGCACGTTTATTATGAGGGCACAGTAGTGGCTTCATTCTTCAGCTTTTATTAAGGTTTTTATCTTTGACAGTATCTCAGACTGCTGCTATTAAAAACCCTGAGAAGTTTCAAATACTGTCTGAATTCATGGATGTGTTGTATTAACCGATTGGGCGCTCAGCGGTCAAAATATACCTCCTCCCAACAATGTAATTTGGGCAGCTCTGTCTTACCTTTGGGACCAAACCGCTGTGTAGCTTTACACCAAACGGCTAACGTTGGCTCTGATGCACATGCGCTAAAGTTCTGTTTCTGTTGTAGAAAAGGAGAAAAAAGTTATTTGTTCCTTAACACAAAGGAGTTGCACCTAGAATAGCCATTAGGAAAAGCTATTTCCCTAGGAGGGCGGTGAAGCACTGGGATGGGTTCCCCAGAAGGTGGTGGAATCTCCATCCCTACAGGTTTTTAAGTCTCAGCTTGACAAAGCCCTGGCTGGGTTGATTTAGTTGGGATTGGTCCTGCTTTGGGCAGCCGGCCATGACCTCCTGAGGTCTCTTCCAGCTCTGTGATTCTATGGAAGCTCCCTGCCTTGGTTCCGTCTGTCTTAATTCTGTTTAGAGCAGGCTCAAAAGCCAGAATCGCATTTTGAGACAATCTCAGGTTTTAGCCTCCACTTTAGGGTTGTCTGGTTTTGACATGGGCTGATTGGGTTTATGGTGTTCTACAAAACAACTTTCTTCTGTTTTAGAAATTCAGCAGTTCTTACAAGGCCGTTTCATGCCAGAAAAGGAAATGCCAAAGCGACCATGTTTGAACAGCTCAGCCAGGGTCACCTCAATGAGGAGAAAGAGAAGATTTCAAAGGCAGCTTTCCAGCTTCACACACCTTCCCCCCACCCCCACCCAGAACGGCTAATGAAATGGAGCAGCAATGGAAATGGCTGTGGCTGCAGGAGATGTGCCTAGGGAAACATGGCAGATCAGCTCAGTGGTTAGACCACTTGCATGGACTGGGGCTTGAGAGTTGGGTTCAGTTCTCTGCCACAGACTTTTTGTGTGACCTTAGGCAACTCACTTAGTGTCTCAGTTCCTCATCTGTAAATGGAATCTACCTCACGGGTTTGGGGAGGATAGATACCTTAGAAAAGTGCTTAGATACTCAAGTAAAGGGGGCCAGATGAGTACCTTAACAGAGCCAGCAGGGATGCGAACGGGTAACCCATGTGGGCTGGGAGCCAGCAGCTTCGTGCAGGGAGGGAGAGGCTGCTGGTTTCCCGCCCATGCAGGCTCACATGGGGTGGAAGTGGTGAGGAGGGAGAGCTGCTGGCTCTCAACCCACAAGCCCGCATGGGCTGGGAGCTGGCAGCCCTTCTCCCACCCCTTCCTGCCCCCCTGCTTCCACTTCCGCCCAGTGTGAGCCTGCTGACTCCCAGCCCACAAGCTTGTGCAGGCTGGAAGCCGGCAGCACACCCGCCTCTGCTGCTTCTGCTCCTTCCCCCATAGGCTTCCAGGGTGGGGGAGGGCTGCTCCCGCCCAGCGGGCTGGAACGGCCGCCTGCCCGCCTCCATGTAATCAGTTCACTGGTTAAACTAAATATTTAACCTGCTAACTACTTAAATGGGATTTTACTTCCCTGATTGCCAGAGGCCTGTGTTCCTCCCTGGGTGGGGAGCATTTTGCTGTAGTAGCAGGCAAAGCCAGTGTGGGTGCCTACAGCCAATGTGAAGGGAGCTTGGAGGTCAGCAAGGGGTAGGAAGGTGAGTGGGAACCTGTGGAAGTCACGTAGCCCTATTAGATTCCCATTTACATTGCTAGCGTATCTATTGCGTGGTGAGGATCCATCCTGTGCTTAAAACCCCTCCTGAAACGTGCAATCCAGTGAGTGTGTAACAATGCATGTGAGATCTGCTGTATTCCGAGCACAGCTGGACCTTCTATCAAAAGGCAAAGCCACAGTGTGTTGCAACGTTAACCATCCTCAGCTAGACCAGAGCCAGACATGCTGGAGGTAAGCTGGATTCTAGCTTTGTGCTGCTGTCTCTAAATAATGCAGCAGTGGATTAACTTTCTATGCAATGACTGCTGGACACCCTAGAGGGAGTTAATGCATAGGAGCCAATTTCATCCCAGCAGGGGGACTCTGAACCAGTGTTTACACCTTAGATCAGAATGTCCTGGCTTTCCTAGATAAGTCAATGCATTTTGTTTCAGCTTCATATATAGCTCCCTGTACCATAATGTCTGCCTTATGCTCTTTTAAGTATTTTTCTACACATCACTGCGCGGCAGGAGAGCACGGTGTCCCATGTTACAAGTGGGACACTGAGAGGTTACGTGACTTGACTAAGGTCACACATGCAGTCTGTGACAGAGCATGGATTCTGCTTTGTGTCAGGCTGGATTTCACTTCACCGGCATGTTGCTCCTTGGGAGGCTTTCAAAGGAACAGGTGGGAACTAGAGGCCCATCTCCCTCTGACTTGCAATAGGAGTGGGCTTCTTTGAAAATTCCCCCCCCCCCTTTTATTATGTCTTTGTATAACGGTAACATAGAAAGATCCCGTAGGGGTGTGCTTGGTGCTGTACAAATGTTGATTTAAAAGACCATCTGTCCCAAAGAACTTGCTGTCTAGGTTTCTGGCAAGTAAACCCAGGACTCGGGAAGGTGGAGGATGCTCATGAAGCTTAATCAGCCTGGTTTTAAAAGGGTGAAATGTTCAGCTGGGGGAAGCAAAATCCACCCCCTCCCCAGGCTGCAGCCTGGTCAGTTGGTAGGTTGGAGCTGAGGATGCAGCCCGTCTGTTGCACTAGTGTGGGAGCCCTGGGTCAGCTGGATCCTCTGAGAATTACAGCAAGAGCTCCTTGGAGCAGGGATTTTGCATGGTGTTGGTGCCAAATAAAAAGCTTCGCCCCTCTTCCCCCACACCAGCTCATGTGGGGCTAACATGGAGCCTGCTTTAACAGACCACCTGTCCACATGTTTCACCCACTGCCCCCTCTCTGCTGGGGGGCAAAAGTGGGACTTACATAGCACATGAAGGTCTTGCCTGAATCTTGCATCCCAGGGTAAATCTCATACTTAAATGGAATAAATACGGATAGTGAGCTGGAAAAGTAACAGGACCAGGCTTGTCTTCCTAGGTGTGCAGGGAACTCTCCCATTCATGAGCAGGGGTGAGTTGTCCCCTGTGGCTTAGTGTCCCCAGGATCATGGCTGTGTCACCGGTAAAGTGTTCAGTGCAATGTCACGGCTTCTCAAAGGAAACCTATACTGACCTTGCTGCAGTCTGTTTTGGAGTCTCATTGAAAGCCAGGCTGCCACATGAGATCTAAGTTTACACTTAGGCTTAAAGTGCAGCAGGGGAGGTTTAGATTGGACATTAGGAAAAAATTCCTAACTGTCAGGGTGGTCAAATATTGGAATAAATTGCCAAGGGAGGTGGTGGAATCTCCCTCTCTGGAGATATTTAAGAACAGGTTAGATAGACATCTGTCAGGGATGGTGTAGACAGAGCTTGATCCTGCCTTGAGGGCGGGGGGCTGGACTCGATGACCTCATGAGGTCCCTTCCAGTCCTATTATTCTATGATTCTAAGAGCGCGGTCCATCTCAACAGCCTTTGTAGCCCAGGTATTGATCGCAGACATTTGCAGGGCAGCTGCTTGGTCCTCGATTCACACGTTCACCAAACATTACTCCATCGCACACCCCAGGGCTTTTCTTTTTCTGCCGGGTTGCTGGATATCAAAGGAAGCGTAAACACTTGTCGGCACTCCTGAGCAAAACCATGCTACGGAGGAGTTTGGTTTTCGGAAATGCCCTTTCTGCGTTGCTAGGGAGTTGCTGATGTCTCGGGTGTCGTCATCCATGCAGGCACCCAGCCGGCCCCATTTTGCAATTTCTTATCCCCCCGCCTGTTGCTTGTTACTGTGAAATGAATGGGGCCGCCTCTCAGTAGCATGCATTAGGTACTAACACCGTCCTCTCTGCTCATAGTAAGTAGCCCCCAATTTGGCTCTAGGCAGCAGTGCTTGCACAATTACACCGGCAGAAGGATCTCTTCATATCAACTGAACAGCCCCATGCACGTAGGGGATGGCAGCTTTGAAGGGGTGCTGCTGGCCTCTTCGGCCCAACCCCATTATACAGCTTCGTTGGAGCATGGCACTGCAGGGATGCTACAGCCAAGGCAGGGGAACCCAAATAAGGATGCTAAATCCCTTTTCATTGGTTAACCACTATGTTTAACCAATTAAAGAGGGGTGGGCAGGAAGCCACGGTTGGGCTGGAGTGGCCACCTCCCCCTACAGATGGGCTGCTCCGGACGGTCAGAGCAGCCCCTCCCTCGGGTGGGCTTGGTAGGGCTGGAGCAGCCCCGTGGCACAGTGGGTGGAAGCTGCTCCAGCCCCAACCGGTGAACTGGAGCCAGTAAGTCTCACCCGTTAAGGGGAAGGCTAAATGGTTAACCATTTACATCCCTATTCCTGAGCTAACTTTAATCCAGGTAGCTAGAGTGTGGGGGCAGCAGCAACAAGAACCAGGCTTGGGATCCTGGCGACTTCCTTGCATGGCTAGCTTGTGCCGAAGCGCATGCTGCTGCTGCTTTAATGCTAGCTCAGGTGTGTCCTCTCAGGTTGCACCTTTTGCTTGCAGTGGGGACATACCCTGTGCACAGCTGGCTTTGAATCAAGCTCTTGGAACCTAACTGCGCCATTTGAATTTAGGTCTGTCTGGATCTGGATTATAGAATCACCCAACACTAGAACTGGAAGGGTCCTCAAGAGGTCATCAAGTCCAGTCCCCTGCCCCTGTGGCAGAACCAAGCACCATCTAGACTATCCCTGATAGATGTCTATCCAACCTGCTCTTAAATATCTCCAGTGATAGAGATTCCACAACCTCCCTAGGCAATTTATTCCAGTGTTTAACCACCCTGACAGGAAGTTTTTTCCTAATGTCCAGCTTAAGCCTCCCTTGCTGCAATTTAAGCCCATTGCTTCTTGTCTTATCCTCAGAGGCCATTTTTCTCCTTCCTCTTTGTAACACCCATTTATATGTGTGGTGATAGCCTTGTCATGCCTCAGGGCCCAGTGTGACTAGGCTCTGCACAAACAGAGCAAGAAAGCCAGTCCCTATATATTCACTCTGAAGGCCAGGTTTGGGCAGGATGATTTCCCAGCAGCGTATATGTACGTAGAGAAGTGGGGGTTGGAATTATCTTTTGGGCACAAAACGTTTTGTCTGTTCCTGACATTAATTGTTGTCTGTTGAAATCTATTAATCTGAAGGCGGTTTTAGCTTCTGTACATGCGGCTAGAGATCGCAGTAGGCACATGTTATAAACTGGACAAACAAGCAAGCTGCCTGCTGATCATCTTCCTATTTTGTCTCCGCATTGATTTTCTCCCACTGAAAAGTCTAAATGCAGCATGCCTTCCAGCCTAACAAAGGATGCATTGGATCCTAAAATCGCCAAACCAGTCCTCCTGACCCCTGGTGAATTTAAAGGAACAGGGTTGCTTTACAAACTGGGGGGTCTGATTTAATAGGTGGTCCTGCCCACTTCAGTAGGGGTTGGAGGTGCTCATTGCTTCTGGAGTTAGCCTCCTAAATTCCTTTTTGCAATTGCTGCTAGGGGCTTGTCTTAGAGTAATGGCACATGCTACAGCCTCATTGCTTTGCAGCCAGCCACTTCTGTATGGGGAGGGCTGGGGGTGCGGGCCAAGGCCTATAACAGGGGTGGGGAACCTAAGCCCTGGGAGCCAGAGGCGGCCCTTAGCTTGCCTGGAGCTGACCCCTGAGGCTTGGGGTTGTCCCCCCCAACAT